ACATTTAGGGATTCTTGCTTCCATGCATAAGGTTCCAGTAAATACCACTGCTATGCTCAGAGGAAGAGGCAACTTTTGTACCACTTTCAGTACCTGAAACTTCGGGAAGCTGAAGTTCACCACCAGCGTTTGTTGGATTTGAGAGAGATGGAACTGGAAGTATCTGGTCACTTATTCATCACATGTGTAATCATTCCAAAAGCTTGGGTGTACAGGGTGAAGTTGGGCCAGGTTTACCTGTCTGGTTGAAATAGGTGCTTTTTTCAGAGCTTTGACTTTTTCCCTTTAAAACTGTTTCCAGGGAGGCTTGGGACATGAGCGTTAGGCCATTTAACAGAAGGAGTAGTCTCACTGTTTTGTTTTTTTTTCCTTCAAGGATGGCCTCCTCATGAAGACTAGAGACTGCATGTTTGTGCCTCTCCTAAAATCCAGCTAGCTGTTGAAAAACAGGGAGGAATTTTGCCTAGTTATAGCACCATTGCTTAGGACCACTGTCAGGGCCTTATCTATACATGGTAGCTTTTACCAGTTTAGCCCCATTGTGAATACGCTAACAAGTGCCGATTTGATTTAGCTTAAACTCTTTCCTAAGTGACACAGCAAACAGGAGGGGAAGCAGTGGTTTACTGGAGTAGGTGTGTTCACACCCAGAGAGGTGTTGCGGTTTTTTTTTGTGTGGGTTTTTTTTGTGTGTGTGTAAATTTGTACCTTTCAGTTGAACTGAAAAAACCCCTCATAGATTGGGCCTTATGACTGAAAAATAGGTGGAATTTCTGAAAAATGCATGCTTGAATCCTGTGTTGACATAAGATCCTATGTTGACATATATTGTGCATGAGTTCTTTGTTGCAAGGGAGGGAGGCCTGTAGGAAAAACAGTTTTTACAGGGATTTTTTTTTTTTGTGGTTTTGGTCCCCTATGGCTAACTTGGGGTACATGTAGGACAGAGGAAAAGAGGAACTGCAGCGCATCTAAAACATATGGACACTGGAGCCAAATTAAATAGCTAAAACAAGTATGTCATTATTTGTGCAATACTCAGTCACTACTCATTTTAAATAACACTGTTGCAGAAACAAAGTGAAAGGTTCCTTTTGCCCTCCAGTGGGACAGATAGCCTTCAGCCTATTCCTTGTGGATGGAGACTGAGAATATTACTTTTCATGCTGAAAGAAGTTTTGGAAAGTTTACCTTAGAAATGCAGGTTTAAAATGAAATGCTGCAGCTTTGATTTGTGAGCAGTTGCATTATGCTTTCACAGAAAAGACAGGACGTTAATGGCTCAAATAGTTTCAGATTTTTATTAAATCTTGCTTCTGTGCAATTAGCAGTCTCTTTAACGGTGTTTGTTCCAGCTGTTGGGGGAACTTTTCATTTTATTTCATCATTTACATAGGACAGAGGTGCTCACGCTTCGAATCTTATTCAGTTTGTTGGGCCACTTTTTGTCATGACCTGTCCTAAAACTTTTTGGTGCACAAGCAAAAAGGGAAGATCCAGGGGAAAGAACTTGAATTTGCCACAGTGAACAGTAGCAAAGGTATGGGGTGAAGCTTCCCCACTTTACTGATCATGTAGGCTGGTTTCACATAGGATTTACCATTGAATTTCTTTGTCCATATTTGAGGTTCTACCAAGGCTCATATGTTAGCAGCGAGTCATAAATTGCTGGGATTGAGGTAAAGATCCTAGTGCAGCGCCTTTGTTCCATACAACCATGTGCCCTAACCCCTGGCAATAGCACCTCACTGCACTGTGCACCTTCTAAATGATGCTTAGTCCTGCTAACCTTTTTAACTGTTCTCCTATCTTTTAAATAAAAACATTCCTCCTCTGGCTCCCCATTATATGATCACTTAGGAATGCCATTTTTCTGAGATTAGAAAAAAGTGTTTTGTGGGCCTCATGATGAACTGACAGTATGAGACTTGAATCACTTACAGAGAATTCTTTCTTTAACCACTGGCCTAAAGCACTGCTCCTGTTTATCATGGTCTAAGTCTAGATACAGATATTCAGAAAGCCCAAAGCAGAATCAGGCTAAGTTACATGATTTTCTGTAAGCCGCATAGTTTAGACCGGCAGCAAACAGCATGCATTTGCCCTTTGGGGGTTGGAGGTGCAAATCTTAGACTGGGTTCTGTCATTTTAAAACCAGTTTGTGCCCCAGACTTCTGTTACAGACATAGACTGGTTTCCAATCACTTATACTGGTAACTGTGTAATGTCTGTACCTGGCTTAAATTGGAAACGCCCGAACTTTTATTGGTGTGAGCGGTACTCTCCATGGAGCGAATGGATCAGGTGTTGCGAGCCTGCCTGTTGCGGTGATGCATATACTACATTTTGGGAGCCTCTCATCTGATACAGTGTAAATTTTGAAGCATTGTTCTACCTGCGTGAGGCACCTCTCAATGCTAGCAGGATTTTTTGGTTCTGTCTTTGGATTTTTGTTGTGGCAGGTAATGTGCAGCACATTGTGTTTAGTTGTATTGACCAATCAAAAATCCATGCTTGGGTTTGAAGACTAACTTACAAGCAGGGGTGATGCACACTAAAGGTCTTAACTTTGTCTATAGCACGTGCGTAGAATTTCATTTGTGAAATACCTAGGTGATTGCCAGACTCAAACGTGCACCTCGATACAGGTTTCTCCTAACTTTACTGACTTTCTACAATGCCTAGACCATGGGTAGGCAACCTCCAGCATGCGTGCCAGAGCATGGCATGCAACGGCATTTAGCATGGCATGTGAACCTTGGAAGGGGCCAGGGCTGTGCTGCCACAACAAGGATTGGGCCCCCTTATGGTGCCCTTGCCATCCACCCTGGCATACCAATATCTTACATGTTGGTTGCGGGTGTTTTTGGCACTCTGCCCAAAAACCTTGCCAACCGCTGCCCTAGATCCTACCTGTGGTTTCAGTGAATTGGGTAAGATGCAGTGGTCCAGGGTGCCTGGGAATGAAACATAGTGGTGGGTTTCTCTGTGCAAAACAGTTGCTTACACAAACCATCTGTACACAAGTGAAACCTGCCCAGTTTGGTGTGTTTTTGTTGTTTTTGACTGTCCACTAGAGCACTTAATTTTAATATCTGGAGCTCTAAAATAACTACTTTTGAGCCTTGTAAATGAGATTGGAGAGCTTAGTTTTCTACTTGATAGCTTAGATTTGTTTTTAAAGGCATGTTAAAAACTTCGAAGCACTACAGCAACCAGTCAGCCTTCAGCTTGTACCTTCATAACTGCCATACTTTACACTTTAAAGCAATATATTCCAAATACTATTTCTGTACAAAATCAAACATAGTCTGACTTCCCAGAGGCCTGAAACATAGTCCGTGATACAGCTGGGTATACCTGGTTCCCAAACACATGCTGCACAGCTTTCAAAGCTGTCTCCTTTTCACTTAAAGTGGTAGTAAATATTACTGTAGATACTTCTTTGCACTGCTGTAATCCTAAATCAGTTGAACATTGCCTTTTACAGAATAGGAGTCCCTGATTTCCCTGACTACATAAGAGTTAAGGCTTGATGACTCCTTAGTTATGTTATTAAGTCTTAGGATGAACTTTTCTCAAGCTGCTGTGTCAAACTGTTTGCTTAATTGTGTGTGCTAGTGATTCTCAACATTTTTAGCCTCAGTGCACCCCCCCCAGTGACTCTTTTTCTGAACTTGGAGGCCCTTCAGGTGAGAGAGACTGAGCTAGAATCTAGCTGGTGTTAGCTCCTCTTTTACTAAAGGTCTATTAAAGGTCAAACTTCAGATCATTTCCACCCCTTGTAGTATGGGGATTTTCTTTTGTCTTTTTATACCTTAAGGCACAAAAGATTTTCGTCATCCGCAGCTTCATTTTTAACCTACTTGACCTGCTGACACCAGGGGGTGGGGAGGAGGGCAGGAAAGGACCTCACTCTACCATGCTCTGCTTTTTCCATTGTCTGCCACTCCCCACCCCTCGTCTGTACCTGAGGGGCAGTGGGCTCTCACCAAGGGCTCTCACCACCGCTGCGCTGGTTTTCTGGTGACTCATATACCAGTGACCCAAAGCAACATGCATCTGTGGCCCCTTCCACAGGCCCTGGGAGTGTGAGAGGAGCGTGGGGAAGAGATGAGTTAAAAATATGTCGCAACCATAGCACATCTACCCACCTGCATGCATGCCCTGTGTGTGTGGCAGTACATGCTGCTGGGATTGTGGAGGCAGTTAGTGCAGGGCCTGCCAGGGCTGGAGAGCAGCCACAGGTGCCACTTCTCTGATGTATGCTGGATGGGAGGAAGAGCAGTCATTTATCTCCTAGCACAGGGGCTGGGCACTCTGGCATGCTTGGAAGGATCTTCTGGCACCTTGGGCTGTCGTGGTATGCTTATTGAGAACTGTTGGTGTATCCCTTGGCAGAAGAAAGCAGTGTTTGGGCCATGCTTTAATCCGAAAAGAATCAGTAAATGGAAAACTTATAACAGTAAAATGGGCATTCTTCTTTTTGGAGTTCAAATTTTCCCATTCCTAGAGAATGCCCTAAGGAAGGTTCCGCATGCTGATGTTAGATTGGTACTGATGTGGTGTCTAAAAATGACCTTTCTTAGGCAATGACAGATCAACCTAAGATGCATGTGGCCTTAGTTTGTAAGCTCTTAAATAAATATACAAACCCCCTTTCTTTTTAACAATTGGACCTTGTTTAAATCCAGGCTGAGGAAGTTTTGCCTGTTTTAAGGGACATTAGAAATACGTTGATTTCTTAAGCTGCAAAATTTGTTCACCTTTTTTAAACATTATCATTTACCTTGAATCACCTGTTCCATTTGACTGGCCTCCTTCATATAGAAAATATAGCATTAGATACCAATTAAAATGTCAGCCTACAAATGCTCTATCTTCTATGTGAAAGGAAGTATTCTGTACATTTTTCCATGTTTTACATCATGGTATTTGGAATAACCATGCTTCCATATTCACATCAATTTTTTTGTTTTTTGTTTTCAATTTATGCACAGCACTTGCTCTGAAATTTGGGGACTGAGTACACCAAATACGATAGATCAGTGGGATACAACAGGCCTTTACAGCTTCTCTGAACAAACCAGGTGAATATTCTGCCCTCTCTCGCATCATAGAGATCTTGTGGGAGGGATTGGCTTTGGAGGGTCTGTAGTGGGATGCTTTACCTGTATACTCAAATGCTTCCTAGACCTCATATGGTACAGCATTTTAAAACACTTGCTTGCCATTGTAAAAATCTGAATGTTCTCAGCTGATGTTTTGACCAATGAAATCCTAATTCTGGCATATCCTTTTTCCATACTAATGCCATTAAAAGAATGGGAAAACTTGTTAAATGCAAGCTTTAATGTATTTTGGTATTTATATGAACAAGGTTAGGACACTTAAATCTTTAAGCCTAATCTTACAAAGTGTTTAAACTGCTTTGTACGCCATAAATTTAACTAAATCTTGCTAACTAGATTAGATATGTGCTACGAAAGAATTGTTGGAAAATTCTTCAGTAGTTAATGATGGGCAAATTTAAAACAGGGTTTTTGTTTTTTTCATGTCACATTTGCTTGCTTTTGTGTATTGAGGTTTTTGTCTCCCATCCCATAACAACCATGAACATCTGCATTTATGTAAGCATATGCAGTCTGTCTTAAAACTAGCAAAACATTTTCAGCTGGTAGCAAGGTATGTGAGCAGTCAAACCAATAAATGCCACACCTTTTTAAGATGTGTTCATGCTTTTTGCATCACTGTTACACTGCCATGTGGATCACATGGGCAGCCAACTGCTGCCAGTTTATTTGCAGTCCTGTGGGAGTTACTGTGCTTTAATGCAAAAAAGCATCCATGCTGCAGTGTAGTCCGAAGGGTTAGAAACTGAGAGACTATTAATGGTATGTCATGTTACAAATGTTTCCTACATTTAAAAATTGTGGTTGAAGTCTCCTTGTTATGCTTAGCTGTACAATGGCTTTTTAACCAACTTGAAACTCATTGGCACTAACTTCTGCTGAAATTAAGTTGCTTTAAATAATAGTCCGTCTGACGCTGCTTTGTTTCTCTCATTTGAAGTTCTCTGCCAAGAACATACATGTAACTTATGCATTGTAACCCTGCTAAATTCTGATCATCCCCCGCATACATTTTAACTATCCCTCACCCCCACCCGACATACTCTTTTTTTGTTTAGATTTTTTTTTAAGGACACAGAATGTAGCTTGTAAACATTTTTTCAACATCTTTCCCATGTAGGTCTCTTGATGGCCGTCTACAAGTATCTCACCGTAAAGGATTACCGCATGTTATTTACTGCCGCTTGTGGCGTTGGCCAGATCTTCACAGTCATCATGAACTTAAAGCAATTGAAAACTGTGAATATGCTTTTAATCTTAAAAAGGATGAAGTATGTGTAAATCCTTACCACTACCAGAGAGTGGAGACTCCAGGTAGGAGGACTGCTATTAGACATTCTAAAGAAGCACATATACGGTATTTACCCAACAAACTCTTCTCTGATTAGTTGGGCTTCACTAATACAGCTTAGCATGGAAAAGTGGGTTGAAAAGTATTATTCAGGCTGCCTCACTGAATCTGCCATATTTGGATAAAAAAAGTAGCACACAGTTTTAAGAACTCAAACAGTTCAACTATTCAGCAGTTTTCAGTGGTAGTAAATTAGTAATGCTTTAAAAAGACATGTCTGTATTTAATATAAACAGAACAGTTTGAATGTTGCTAACAAGTAGGGGTGCACCGATAAAGTTTTTTTGGGCCGATACCAATGGCCGATTTATTGACCAGCAATATCGGCCAATTCCTATCTCATTGCTGATATGTGCAGCCCAGCAGCATCTGGCTGGTAAGTCTGCTGGGGGGAAGGGGCATGGGGAGGCAGATCAAGGCCCCCTGTGATGAAGGAGGGAGTGGGGCAGGGTATGGGACAGAGCTGGTGGTTCATGGAGGAGGGATGGCTCCTGCTGCTGGATGCACCCCTGGAGGAGGCATGTGGGGCATGTGCCCCCCGCATCTGTGCATGGGGCAAGGGTGTGCTGCACGCTGGGGACTAGGGCTGCTCCAGCTTCTTCCTGGTAGCGGTGCTTGGGGGGGCAGGTGGTGGTGGCAAATTTTTGGGTGGCCCTAACCCCCACACCTTGTAGCCCCCTCCTCCCAGTACAGCCTAGCCTGTCCTGCCGGACCCAAGTGAGGCTGCCAGGAAGAGGTTGGACCAGCCCCATCTCCGAGTGCACAGTGGACAGCTTGGCCTCCCCCCATGCACAGATCTGGGTGACACATGCCTCCCTGGGGGTGCACGCAGCAGCGGGACCTGCACCCTCTGGACAAACCAGCAGCTCTGTCTTGTGCCCTGCCCCGCCCCAGCTGGGCAGTACCTGCCCCCGCCCCAGCCCCACTCCCTCCCTCATCGCAGAGTCCTCAATCTGTCCCTCCATGCCCCTTCTCCTCCCCCAGCAGACTTACCAGCTAGATACTGTTCTCCAAGCTGCACTCCTGGCCATGTACATGCTGCGGCTGCGTGCATGCACAGGGCATTTTATCAGCCATATCAGCCGCAAAAGGCCAATTGCCTATTGTGTCAATTTTCCTTTTATTGATGCTGATATGATATGTATCGATGTATCAGTGCACCTCTACCAACAAAACCACTCTCTGTCTTTTGATTCAACCTGAAAGTGGTTACATGTAGTTAAACAGTGAAATCACAGATGACCGTGTGCTACTCTGGCTGGTATGGAATAGCTTTTATTAGGCATTTTACAAATCTGAGACTCATTACCTGAGTTAAAACTATGTTAAGTATAGTACTTTAATTGTTTGCCTGAGGTGTTTTCTTTCCCCCCAGCTCAGAGAGAAGTAAAATGGATGTGTTCAGGCTCTCACTAATGCATTGAATTCTACCTTCCCAGTCCTGCCTCCTGTATTAGTGCCACGGCATACTGAGATCCTAACGGAACTGCCTCCTCTCGACGACTATACCCATTCCATTCCTGAAAACACTAACTTTCCAGCTGGGATAGAACCACAGAGCAACTATATACCAGGTATTCCTCTGTTTTTAAAGATATGTATTGTTTATGTTGGCACTTAATGTCCAGATAGTAAATGAAAGATGGAGATTTGATTAAACTTCCTAATTGATCAAATGGCTAGACAGACCTACTGGAAAATTCAAATAAGATGCACTTCATCTTCATCCCCATAAATTTCAAAATGAGTGACATTAATGCTACAGATATGTTTCTGTACAAAAGAAAAATCCCATGCTGTCTTGGTAAACTGAACCAGCTTTGTTTAGACATAACACTACTTAAGAAGCGATGTGTTCATGCACGTGTGTGTATTTAGTATTCAGGATGCTTTATGGGGTGGGGAGCAGTCATCTAACACATTCTGCATCGACAGTAATCTTTGCTTCAAGAATATTATACAGGCAAACCTGAGCTACCTGATTGCTGCATGATGAAGCCTGAGTAAACTCCTGTGTATGATCCTGCAGTGTAGCTGTTGCTTGCAGGTTGCTGTTGTTTTAGCCACCTTAACTCAAAAGTACTTTGAACTACAGGTCATGATTGAGAAGGTCATTTTTCCCTCCCACCCCTTGTTCAACTTTGCACTATGGAATTTTCTTTTTTAATGTCTTGTCCTATACACCCATAAGAGGGAAGGTCCATCTTTTTTCCCCAAAGTGAAGTAGTCTTCCTTTCTCTTCTGTTGCCCTAGCCTATGAAGCTTTACTGAGAGAGGTGCTATTCCAACTTGTGCTGCAGCAGCACCTAGTATACTGCTCGAACTACAAGGAGATAGGGAAATACTGTCTGTTGCAAAGAAGTTGTTCTGACTTGAAAGCCCGTGCCTTATTTGATGCAGACTTCATAACTTCTCATTTTATAAAATGCTGTTGCAGCATTGCAATCTGACCCTTCACGGCTGGGTGGTCTCTTTGGAAAGTGCTGCAAATGCTATGATTGCAGCTCACCCTCTCAGCAGTCCAGTCTGCAGCAGCTTGTTCACCTTTAAATGACGATTCTCAAACATTAAACTTCAGCTCTCCTTTTCTTGTTGCTTTGGTGTTCAAACTTCAACCCAAACAAATGGGTTTTAATAATAGTGTAGGTGGAGAGATCTCTTCTGTTCAGACAAAGATCAGATATGGAAACAGTTGGTACCAAAGGCAGAAGGTTGGCAGCTGAAAACAGGAGGTGGGTTAGACTGTAAATGGTTACTGACCTTTACCATAGCTGTGGGCTCAACTACTATGAATGAATCAGAGATGGGAGGAGTTCACTTAGTCATGGCAGCATAAAATAGCCTCTCAAAATTAGTACTAGCTTTATTATCGTACAAGTACATGTCAAAACTAAAAATCTTCTCTGCTGTAATCTTAAATGTGGCTGGGAAAATAGCTGTTC